AGCGAAAAGTTTTCATACCTTTCTATCGAACTACAAACGTTGCTGTTGGAGCACTGTGTCAATGCCGAGCGTTTTCCCCTTGATTCTTCGTACATTTTTCTTCTGATCTGCGCCAACATATTCATATCATAAGATATTATATTATATTGGGATTATTTGATGCGAGTGAGGATTTGCGATTTTATTTGATGATGCTCTGAAAACCGGCATATAGTTCACCTAATGATGAAGCGTAATGGGAGGAGCCAATGCTGGGAACAACGCTTTCGTTTAACCCACTGCGGATAGAAGATCTTCCTCCAAGTTTCCCTTAAATAATTTTGCGCTAAAATAGAAATACAAAATGAATGTAGCAGAGTTCTTTCCTGTAACTGAACACGAACTAGTATTTATTTCGCCTGTAGTTGAAAATTAAGGCACGCTATGCTTACGTCTTGCAAGCGTTTTGAAAAAATTAATACCCTTTCAATGTTCGCTGACGAATATAATAAAGAAAAAATAATCTTATAATGAATCGTTGGCTAGATCGCTCAACTGTTTTCAATTTAAATTCAATTTTCAAGTCGACATCACTGGTTCATGTTTACAATAATTCATTGATCATTCATAATGAAACAACACATACTTTGGAATTGCAATTTTTGAAAATTTGATAGCACCCTTCAAGGGTAGTTGCATTTATTATAGAACATGTTTATATATTCAGGGCTGGCAAATAAGTCTAGTAATTTTTATACCTACCACCGAAGGATGGTGGCTTACCCATCTGGTCAACACCTATGCAGCAACCGAAAAGAAACTCAAGACATCCCGTAAAGTGTGTACACTCTCGGTCAGCATCAATTTACGAGTTATTCTAGTCCATATGTCTATCCGTTCATGCATCCCTCTGCCTTCAATACGGTTCTCTTGATCGCAAAAATTAAAATAATGCGGCTGTAAATTTGATAAAAAGAGTAGAAGAGGACTGCAAGTGAAATGGATCGAATGGATCTAAGCTGAGAGCTCATGTGCTTTCTCAGTTTTTGCTCATTGCTTTTAAGGTACAACAGATATATTGATAAAAATTTCCGCCTATATTTTATATGTTATTCTAAAGTATTATTATTATTATTATTAATTTCGCCAGAGAAATAAATTCTAGGACTAAAGTCTTAAAGCACTAGCATCTAAGGCTTTCGGCTTTATTAAAAACTCTACCGCACTTGCGATTTGAACCCACGACCATTGAGTTGCTAGTCGAGACTCTTGCCTACTCGGCCACCCAGGCGGATATATCCTAAAGTAAATGCATAAATATGAGGGAAATCGCCCACGTCCACTCAAATTATGGGATATCAAAATTTCGTGTTTTTTCTTTTGCTTTCTTTTAAGATAAAGTGTTCGATCGGAGCCAAATAACATATAATTTCCAATTGAAAATTTGATGAGTTTTGTGAAACTGCATTGAAACGTAACCCTGTCAACTTTGGGACGGAAAACGCTTGAGTTCACGAACTTTCGTTGAATGATAGTCAAATTAAGATCGGAGATCTAGCAGTGTCCATGTCAATCTCCAAGCAATAATTTTCGAATCCAAATTAAAGCTTGAGAATGCTAACCGCACGCTGCATGATGCCTTTGCTCACCGTGGAACAAAAATATCGACTCACAAGCCAATGGCTGAAATGGCACAATTGAATAAATAGAAGTTCGATGTGTTCCCCCATCCGCCATATTCTTCAGACTATTATCTGCGACGAAACGAAAAAAATCTGAGTTTAATAATGCAAGCTTTTAACGTCTTTTAAAACATATCAAAAATTTGCACTTGAATAAATTCGTTAAAATTACTTATAATTAATTCAGTGCTTGATGTATATTTGGGGCCATTTTGGCGGCGATAGATCGTGAAGACAGTAACGAAAGAAGCTCTTTCTGATAGGTTTCAGAATTTTTCAAAAATCTATCTGAACTCTATCTAAATTTTATATACAAATGTGTAGTTACGTAATGTCTCCGAAAGTTGAAAATTCAGCTTGATGTGGACATCGCATTCTTTCAATGTTTATGCTGTAACTACGACTGAGAGTGAGTGGCCATTACTTAGCATTATTTGTGTGTGTGTTCCTAATATGTTTTTTTAATTTTAATACTTATTTTATTTGTTTTTTTTTACTTCGCGATAAGTCGTACCACGGCAAGCGAAGACATACACCTTGAAGAATATGGGTTGTCTTGACTTCGGTTGATTTCGATCTTCCTAATGAACCGCTCTGTGTACAGCCCTTTTTGATCGACGACAACACTGTGACGATCATATTAGAGCAAAAATTGGCGACATCTTTTTGAAAATAAGTAAGAACCTGACAGTTGGACAAGGCCGGCTATTAGATAGCCTGCACCACTTTGTCTAACACATTTATTCACTCGTTTTCGCGATAATACACCAAAAGTTAGACCTTATTTTCATGCAAAACCACACTTTTCATGAAAGCCCGAATATTGTAGAAATCCGTATATACTGTGTAGTCCAAACAATGGACCTATGTGGTCGAAATTTGGTTAGCTTGATTTCTATATCGATTTACTATTATTAACTAATTTTCGCCGCGAAATATTAAAAATTATACTTTTTTACTATATAAAGGTTTAGTTTTCGTAGCAACAGTTATAAGAGAGAGGTGTCAAAAAATTACCTCAGCCGAGTCAACTTTTTCATACCAATTTAGATTCTCCAAAAACTGTCACATAACGAGTTTTGTCAAGAAATTTTGAAAATTAAAATTTTATTCCACTTAACGACTTTTTAAAATAGGGCGTTATATGCGCGTGGTCGAAAGAGTGGACCGATCCAACTCGTTTTCAATAGCATTCGTCCTTGGGTCAAAACACGTTAGTGTGCTAAATTTCATCCAAATATCTCAAAAATTGCGATCTGTAGCTTGAACACAAATGTACATCGACAGACATCAGACGGACAGACAGGCACGGTAAAATAAAAGGTAGGTCTATTTCCAGTCATTCTTCATGTTAGATGCGTCCGCATAAACTTAATATACCCATGGGGCGTAGGGCATAAAGAGATGCGAGTGTCACAGTTGCTCGTGCTCATCCCACATTAGTCTTATTATTATTATTATTATAATTAATTATATAATTATTATATTATTATAATTAAATATTATAAATATATAAAATATATTATTATTAATGTTAAAATTAATTATCCGCAGAAATAAATTCAAAGACTGAAATCTCTTACACGAACTGACATCTAAGGCTATTTGAAAACCCAACCGCAGTTTGGATTTGAACCCGCGACCAATGAGTTGTTAAACGAGATCCTTTGCCTACTCGGCCGCTCAGGCGGGTACTTTAGTCCTACAATTTATTTCTTTTGACTAAATAAATTATTGTAAATATAATAACAATAAAACCATAAACTTTCTTAATAAGCAACAAAATAAACCCAACACAAAATCTATATAAAGACGAACAATTACTAAAAAGGGCGTGCATAACCAAGAAAAACGAAAAAATGTTACATAAATCGAAAAGAAAAATAAAATTTTGAATGATATCATAACCTGGTACCGAACCTTTGCTGAAATTTATACAATCCCTAAAGCGGGCCAACTTGATCATTATACATTCATTCAATTTGAGCGAAATTTTTATTTGTTGCTGTTGCATCAGAAGTGAATATAGACTTTCATCAGTTATAAACATTTGTTTACGATTCACCATAAAGCGAACGCGGACGGCTTCTTACTTTGTTCACTCGCCTACGTCTAAGGCTCATTCTAAAGCAAACGCATCCTTTCAGATTTTCACTGACTTTTCTATGTTAATTCGCAAGATTAATTTGGTCAAGGATCTCATGTGTCTTAAGAGTTACTTACGTTTTCTTCTTTCAAATAGCGATTATCGTTCAATTGAAAAAGAGGTAAATGAAACGTTGATTGAAAAGGAACCGCCGCACACAAGACGGCCGTAGTTCAAGCTTGCAAATGGTTACATATTATGTTTGATTTTCGGATAACTAATTCAAGCGTATATAGTTTTGATTCATAACATCTGAAATTTCCTCGTTTTCCATTATTTTCTGTTCGCTTCACCTGTATGTTAGATTGAATCTTGACTGATCGGCTTATTAAATTAAAACAGAAGAGGAATACAACAATAAATAAAGCAAAAAATAATGGAAAATTCTAGAAAAACTTGATATTCAAATAAATAAAAAGAAGAAGAAGAAAAAGTATTTTAAATAAATAAAAAGAAATGATGAACAACAAGGAAATTAAATCAAATTTCAAGTCGGCTTAGGTCAAAACATCAAACAACACATAAAGCTAAATAAGTGTGAAAAATCACTGGGAAAAAGAACACATAAGAAAATAATTTTGAAAAAAAAAACTCCTTTTTGTAAAATATATGATAAAAATAAGGGGAGGGTTTTTTCCTACTTTCCAACTTATATTTAATTGCATTGCACGGAAGAAAGGGAAGGAAGATGGAGTTTTTAAATGAACTACGCAGCCATTGTTAAAGCGTTTACAAGAGAACAATGTGCAATCATTCATTGAACAGAGACAATAAAATATTCGCTGTCCTCTTCCATGGCTTGTTCCAGAAGCGAGAAAGAGAGCCACGCTTTACTATTCGATATGCAATGAGATCACCTAAGAGTAGCCGCGATAGTTATATGATATTGGTTGTCTTTCTTATTCGCTTTGCTCGTAAGCGTGGGTTTCACTTAGTATTGGTGTCGAAGTCGTTCATTGTGCGCACATACATACAAGACAAGATGTTGTGAGAGCGCAATTCGATACAACGTTTTACTCTTGACCAAGATCATCTTGAAACCAGTAATTTTTTGACTGGCTTACTAAACGTATCTAACGGATTCTGTTCAAGAAGTAGAAAAAATTTTCCAAGCGTAAAAAACCAGTGAATTTGTGCTTAAAAAAACGAAAAAAAAAAAAAACGTGAAATTGTGAATTTTTGTTCGCCTACGCATTATCAAGACCTTCTTCAAATTGGTTTTCATAAAACTTTACTACGAGAGCCTAGTAACATGGTTGTTTCAACTTTAAGCATGACCCCGTATTTTGCCGGATATCCATTTCAAGGTACATTAGATGTGAGACATGTGTGTGTTAAAAATAACGAAAGCGCGAAAACCTTATTAAGAAAAAAGTAAAAAAAATGAAAAACAAAGAAAAGCTTATTTAACTAACCAGTTAATGCTCAGACATGTTCCACGACAATTAAAATGTTTTTAAATAGTTTCCGAATAGAAAAACAAAGGTCGTTATAGCATTTATTGTCAGCAAAACGCAATGTTTTCGCTTACACTAAAAGACAAGCACGCGTAGCTTAAGTTTAAATTTTATTAAAGCATTAAAATGCTTATCAAAAGTGTATTTTTCTCTTTTCGCGTCCTTCAGCTTCCCATTGACGGCGCCTACAGTGAAGTTCGGATGAAAGTTCTTTGCTTTTACTTGTGAACCCTCGATAGCTTTCATTTTTAGTGTTCTGCAAATACGTACGACCGACGCCTCGTTCCTCTAAAGCTAAGAAACTTGATTCTTTGCAGCTGGTGCGCCCATTGCCCACAAATGCAGCTGATGATCGCTTTTTATCTATTGTTAGTCTCGAAAATACAAATCGAAATGCCTTCTATAAGAAACTTCGTTTAAGTCGGATATGTAGAGCCTTCCGCTCCAAGCATACTTGTCCCCTGATGGTGTTTGCAAGAAATAAATAGATTCAATAGTAGAATGATATGATGTGTGTTTGCCGTAAAAGCCAGTTCTATCAAATTGGCAGACTATTTGCGGAAGTGTTATTGGCGCCAGTACGAAGATAGAATGCAAAAGTTTAGCATGCATACACTCGAATCAATTGCACACCCACCATCATAGGCAAAATAGATTAAGAAAGATTATATCGAATTAGGGAAAGCGGCGAAGGTTTGAAATATATTGTCACTAACTATTTGCCCACATGTAGTAGAGCCCATGTTGAAAATTACGAGTCACCTGAGAAATCAACGCGGAATTATTTAATTTGACTCGATAAAGTGCTGAATAAAGGGAAGATAGGTGATATTTAGAATTAACAAAAAAATACATTTTTTCCATTTCCAGGCATTTGCCCCGATTATGAATTCGGAAAGAGCTGCATGTTAGTTAATTGATCTGCTATCATATTCAGTTTATTTGCCGGGGCCTTAATTGATTTCAATAGACAAAGCTTTGAAATCTTTTTAACTAATGGATGCCAGATTTAGGCACAAGGCAACAGGCAAAATGACTTTAACTTCAACGATTCTTTAAGAATTGGCTTTGCTACTCGGGAAACCGCCGAGCTCAGCCTAAAGTTCAACTTCAAATTAGATCCAAAAGGTAAAATTGAATCAATTGTTAGCTAATTGGGTTGAATCTTCATAATTAGTTCCCATAACTCAATTACATGCGGATTCAATGTGAATGAAGAATTTTTTCCATTTCAAGTCTGTCGGTGAAACAACGAAAGAAGTTTATAGGCAGCAGAACCTTTCGTTTCGTAGCATTGTTTCAGGCAATTTGAAAGTCTTAAAAAGGCTGAATCCGTTTATGACGTCACCTTCCAAGAGATTGGCGTTCATTTCTATACTAACTCATCAGCCGGATGTGAAAAATCAGCGATGTCAGATTCTATTTGCATTTTGAGGGGAAAATACTGAGCCAACAAGACGATTTCAACTTTTTTGAGTTCTGTTCTTTTAAAATCTCATGAAACTGTGCTTTATCTTCTACGTAGTTTTAGAAGGTAAGTGGTTCAGGTTCGGTCATCCTAAAACGCTTAGCAGCTCATAACCTCATTAGGCCCATCAGAATGTCACTCTGCTTATTCTATTGAAGAAAAAGAGAAATCGTTTGAAAAAACTTTTTAGGAATCTCTGCTGCACAAATTGCGTTTCAATTGTCTTGCGCTTAGTAGTAGAGTGTCATCGATTTGTGCTTTAGTTGCTTAGCAGAGTTATTTAAAACATTTTCATCCCAATAATGAAGGCGAACTTTGTAAATTTTCCTCCTGTGTGTTTATCTTAACTTGCCTTAGCCATGCTTCGTTTTTCGAAACTAATGTTGATTATATTTTTCTCTGCATCTCGTTTTCCAAGCTATTGTCTTGTTTCACTTTGTCTGATAAACATGTGTGCAGCTCCTTAAAGCCATGATCTTAACAACCTCGAGAAACATAAAGCACATTAAAAAAAAAAAAAAAAACAGCAACAAAATAGCAAGCAACTCATAACAATCATAATCGTAATCGCCTTGATTACGACGACGATGATGATGATGATGATGATGATGATGATGATGAGCATGCTTTTCTTTTCGCTTCACTTTTCTCACTTGCTTACTTGCTATACTTTACCTTCTGGCCCCTAAACGAACAAGCCAGACACTTTGGCGCGTTCGGCATAAAGCTTTGATCTTCTTCGACTTGCTGTTGGTGGTGCTGTATTGAGACTTTCTTCTTCATCTTCTTTCGCTGCTTGCATCACATCACACATACACACACACATATATATTATTGATATTCATATGTGATTATTAAACCGGCACAGCTGGATGGATGGTTGAATTTTTTTTCTTTTTTCCTTTTCTTATTTCTCTTGTGATTTCATTTAAATTTAAATTTTTCTGCAGATTTATTATTGAAGCGCAAAAATAAAAAAAAATAAAAATATATATATATATATATGACGAAGAAAAGATAGAATTGCATAAAAATAAACGAAAAAGAAAAAAAAAAAAAATTCACCGAAATTCATGCGTTAATGTTCTTTTGTATTTGAGCACAAACCAATTAATATGATCCTGATTTAGGTCATCAGTAAATCTTTTTCTGTTCTTCAAGAGGAATCATCATAATATGTGTGTTCCTTTTGTTTTGCTCTTTTTTAAATCGTTTTCATAAGTGTTTTGCATAACTTTGCAAAAACATTGTTTCTATTACAATTAAATAAACATTGAATTGCTTAACAATTGAGTCATCAGTTCAGTTGTTGCAGATTTTATTTCCCACATGACGTTTAAGAGCATTTTAATTTGGAACAATACACACACACGTAAGACGGTTTTGTTAAAACACGAACGATAAGAAGCTATTCAGAAGCGTCTCATCCTCTCATACCCTGCTGATCTATTTTAAAAACATTTGTTTTTTTTTTTAGGACAAGGACGTATCAATCAATTGGGTGGCGTGTTCATAAATGGTCGGCCTTTACCCAATCATACGCGGCGACAAATTGTCCAAATGGCAGCGAACGGTGTCCGTCCTTGTGTCATTTCTCGAAATCTACGGGTTTCGCACGGCTGTGTTTCCAAAATTTTAAACCGCTATCAAGAAACCGGTTCTATTCGTCCTGGTGTGATTGGAGGTAGTAAGCCACGCGTTGCAACTCCCGACATAGAGGCTAAAATCGAAGAGTTGAAACAAAGCAATCCGGGAATTTTCAGCTGGGAAATACGGACTAAACTCATAGAAGAGGGAGTATGCGATAAGAATACCGCGCCCTCGGTTAGTTCTATTTCTCGTTTGTTACGCGGCGGTACGCGCTCAGATTCGGTAGGCAACGGTCACTCGATAGACGGTATACTTTCCGGTGTTTCCGGCGCATCAGGAGACGACAGTGATGATGATACGGAACCTGGTGTTCAATTGAAACGTAAACAACGTCGTTCGCGTACTACTTTCAACAATGAACAAATCGATGCCTTGGAAAGAGTATTTGCTCGCACTCAATATCCTGATGTTTATACGCGTGAAGAGTTGGCTCAAACAACAGGCTTGACAGAGGCGCGTGTTCAAGTGTGGTTTTCAAATAGGCGGGCACGTTTGCGCAAACAATTGAACACTCAACAAGTGGGAACATTTGGCTCGACAGTGGCCCAATATCCATCGATTGGACATCATCAACCGATGAGTTTGTACCCTCAGTCTAATAGCTGGGCAAGCGGTTTAACGGCGGCGCAACCCAACAATAGCTATGAGACTAACAACAACCCAAACGTTACCTATGTCCACTCTTCAAACTCAGCAGCATCAATGTCACCAAATAGTAGCAGCAGCACGGCATCGTTAAGTCCCAGTCACACTAACCCTAATAATAACACCGCTTCCGGTTTGATAACAAATTCCCAACCAACTTATCTCTCATCGACCGGCTATTCCCAAGCTACACTTGGCAATCCGAACAATAACACCTTCTCTTCGGCAATTTATGGCATGTCTTCGTCGGCTGATCAGTTGCGTTCTCAATTTGCATCGGCCGCCGCGGCAGGTTCTCATCATCACCATCACCATCATCATACGTCTCCTCTTCAAAGTGCTCATCATCATCATCACGCCTCGTCTTGGGATTCGTACAACTTTGCCGCGAGCTCTTTTGGTTTCCCATCATCCGGTCCGACAAATGTCATGAATTCTTATCATCCACAAACCGTAACAGATAGCAAAAACTCTACTACTACGGCTGTTGCTGCGGCTGCTGCTGCTGCTGCCGCGTCTACTGGCACTGCATCGTATCCCTACTTTGGTTTTTAATCTTTTGACTTATCACTGACAAAAACAAGAAAAAACATTTACATATTATCATTAATTTTCTGTTAATAGCTAAACTTAGTCTCTTATTGATTCTTCATTGGGAAAAAACAAAAAAAAAAATCATAATTTATACCCTGCTGTCTACGCCTGCTTTCTTTCTATTCATTTTATTGTTTATATCTCACCAATGTTAGACTACAAGAATATGTAATTAGCTTAAGTTCATTTTAGTTTTTCTTTTTTTTTTTTTATTACACTTTCGGTATCCCAAGAATTCAAGACTGCTTAAATAATAAGATTACGTTTATTCTCTTCTCTGTGAATGCAGTAAAAATTTGTATGTTTTTTTGTATTAAGATTTTAATATGATAAGTTGGGGCGGTTTGCGTTGTTGTGATGAAGAGTATAATAAAATATATACAACTTTTTTTCTTTTTTTAATAAAATCTATGAAAAATGTTGTTTTAATTATGTAGATCAGCAAGTGTAACGCCTTTGGGCTTAGTTCATCGACTTTAGATTTAGTTAGGAAGCTCATGACATGTAAATGTCCTCCATTTGTAGCTTAAATTCTTCATTGGATAATAGAGTGCGTTAGATGTGGTTCTCTTCAGGCCCCTAGGAGTAAGTCCAGACATAACAAAGGTGCTGAAATAGACAAGCAAGGACCTGTAGGAGTCGTCTCTAACACAAAAGAAAAAGTTTATTTGATTATCGAAGTGTACAAAGGTCGCCTGTCAAAAATTTCAAGACTTTTCGATCATTGTGTGGTTCACGGGTGACAGTGATTTCGTTATTTTCGTCAAAAATGAAAATATTTGAATTTCAGGCGTCAAGTCATTTTTATCTCGAAAAGTGCTTTCCGTTCCGCCGAAAACATTAATTTGCTGACGGTTTAATGATTTAAGACGAGGCTGCAGGGACACCGAAGATGCTGAAGGCAGTGGACGATCGAAAAAAGTGTTTTGAGGATTGTGTCCGACAATCGCAAGGTAAAGTTGAAACAAAGAAAGACAAAACTTCATAAATCGAACTTCGAATTGCTGCCCAGCCATCCGCGTTCTGTAACTTTGGTGGCGTATGTGTGCTTGAAAAACTTAAAAGTATGCTCAAGTAAAAGAGATTTGAATCATTGCATAACCCGATTCGGTTCTAGTGATTCTTGTCAAATCGTTCTATGAAAACAGCCGTGAAATGCTAGAAAAAGATTGTGTCATTCTTGGAGGAATCTACACTGGGGCAGGCCGCCGAAGGGTACAAAAAAGAGAATACGAAAAAGTATAAAAAAACCTTATCAATGAAAAAAAAACCTATTATTCATTATTAAATGCGAACATGCCCGTTGGTTGGGCGCCTTTAACATAAGAAATATTTCTTAGCTCAAATTCGTTTCTAAACAAACTACAATAACCCGTCATGAGGTTCGAAAGTTATATAAGGCTTCAGCTTTTTACTTCTTGGTGGTTTGTTAAGCTTTACTATTCACGGCAAATAAAAGCACCCAATACCCAGAGCGATCAAGATGGTCGGCGCTGCGTAATAGTTTATTGTATTTCGAAGCAAAGAAACTTTGAGTTGCATTGTTACACCTTTTATCCTTTTTGCTGATGGGGCATTGCACCTGAACGTATTTAAGGAAAGCCAGGAATGTTTTGTCCGTTCCTTTACGCTATTCAATGGTCGGATTGATTCTAAGATGAACGCAGATTTTTCAATTCAATTCATTAAGACATTGGCGAAGGGAAGGAAAATGTAAGACGGCTCATTGCATATGAACGGCTCAGAGCATATGAATTGTGCATCGACGAAAAACATTGAGTCTCTTTGTCCACCTCCGCCTGCATATCAGGGCTTTGCTATGTTCGCGTGTTGGACAATTAAAAAATAAAACGAGTCTGCATAAATCGTTAATCGAATCCCATTCAGGAAATGCAAAAATGGATCTCTTCTAACTATAAACTCTGCTAAAATGAGTAGTGATATCAACCTGAGCTTTGCTGAATATTGAATGCTGATGTCTGCCTAAACGCGGACACACGCAATTAAAATGAAAAGCTTACCGATTATTGAACTGCACATCGGCTTAAGAAAAATAAAACTTTATCTTGTTCCCTTTTACATATGTGCACTCAGTCTGATTGGTCTTTACGTAAATTGCATCCATATACTTGAATAAGATTGAATCGAATTTTCAAGAAAACAAAAATGAAATAGAAATTTATTTACTGAATTGATTGTAAGAAGTTTCTTCGGAGCACATGTAAAGCCCTAATGAAGGCCATATATCAAAATGTTCAAAAATCAAGGGGAATTTTGAAATAAGGGGAAATATTCGTTCGTGCAAATTTAATTTAATTCCCGCACAATACAGCAGATTCTACATTATTCGACTATTTCTCAACCGATATAGTCTTCAAAGCAACGACCGAACCCTAATTAATGACTTTTATTGACTTAAAAAGTGTTTTTCCGCTTTGGATGTGGTAGCATTTATTTCCCTTGGATTTGGGTGATAGCTATTCGCACGACTCATCACCGGGCATGACTAGTCGAGTATACAAGTAGTAGGACTGCCAAGTGAGTGTCCGTGAGTTCATATCTCAGGACGGTCGAGTTTGCTTCGGTTATAGCTATAGTAAGCACTCAGTCAGTAAGAGCGTAGCTCTTACCGATTGAGCACACAACTAATAGGCTGCGTCGACCACCTACCCCATTTGTTGTTGCTCGTCGTCGCCTTACACGAATATAGGATGTCCACTGAATGATTGGTCAAATCGAAAAAAAATAAATACATATATAAATTTCTCTTCTTCAATCAAAACCGAATTTTTACTTCAGTTTTATATAACTTATTACAGTTTATATAACTTACTATACTAACATTATTAAAGACGAAATCTCTTGCCAAAGACCCGATAGAGTAAATATATACTTGACTTGGACATTTGTGACGCTTAGTTGATTTCATTTCTTTTGCTCTGTTGTCTGTTGAGAGAATGCAGAGACTGAAATAGAATCTTGGATATTGACGGATAGCTTTTGGCTGCAGGTCAATTTAAAAAAGTGGCTTATAGTAAAAATTTCTTAGGAGCGATCCAAAATTCGATGAGACCAACTCACCCACAACAGACAATATTGGTGAACCAAAACTTGATATAAATATTTTCTAGGACCACAAAACAATGCTGACACGTTCGGTTTAACGAGATATTCTTTATTTTTATTGTCGAAGGAAGGAAAATATAACTTCAGCTTTAGAAATTTTATTCAAAATTCCATTTTAAAAGACAGCAATTGCCAAAGCTTATTGAACGCATGCTTAACATGAAACTTGAACAGTACGCGGTTATAGCATCTCAGCAATTGGAACATTATTCTATTGGGTTGGTCCCATTTGTCCCTTTTTGCCCAAATCCTATGCTAAATTTTCGGCTTGGTTTGGCAAATTTCTGCTGGCGCTTTGAAGTGTGGAAGAGAATTACATGATATTCTAGTCAGTCTTCGTTGCCGCCATTAGTAGCATAGTCGTTGCACTAATAAACTATTAAACTGCAGTAATAATAATAATAATAATAAATCACATGAGGTGTGTTTTGGTAGGGACTGCACATAAGATGTTCGCCCAGTGTTAGTGGCGCTTTGTTGATTTTTCAGATGAGAGATCTAATTAACTATGGTATGAAATATTTTTGTTCAACACACACAACACGATCAGAACGCACACCAATTATTTTATTTATTTATTTTGTTTTTTTACTGTCGGTATAAAAAATTGAATTTAACTCGCTCTAAATTTGCGTTACGTAATGGAATTTAAAGCGTTTCCTATCACATCAGCTATACGAGAGGGAGAAAGAGAGAGAGAGAGAGAGAGAGAGAGAGAGAGAGAGAGAGAGAGAAAATATCTGTGCATTAAGTTATCAACGCTTCGGAAGACAAAACACACAAAAAGTTGTGCATTTTTTGATAATGATGATGATGATGATGATGATGATGATGACGACGACGATGTGGTGTGATATGATGTATTTTTTGGAAAAGAAATTATTCACACACACACACACACACACACACACACACATTCATACACACGCAAACATACATACACACGCAAACATTTATAGTAAATAACATGCACAAGTATATAGCGAATCATAATGGATTTTATGCCAGAATCTTTGTATGCATGTATGTGTGTGCTTGTGTGTGTGTGTGTGTGTGTGTGCGAATGTATACATTGTTGTGGTAGTTAAACGTAACCGAATAGCGTAATAATTTCAATACCATTTAATTGAAATTATAAATGATTTTATAATTAATTGAACGAATTAATTTAATTATGTGAGAAATATTGTAGGAGGTATAGAGTAGCAAGGAGGACATATGTATGTATATATATAAACAATAAAAAATTAAATTAACATATTAATTGATATCATTTTTCACACAAAATTACGTTAAATCTCTTTTAATACCCGATTTATCATTGTAGCTACATATACGTAGAGCATTGAAATGTTAATATTTAATGAAACAAATACATGCACATACAGAGCGAATTACTTCAAGGTGGTCCGATCTCGGCCGGCAAATGCAGACAATGCAGCATGATTTGTATTATTAATAAGCTATCAGTGATCATTTATTGTCACATATTAAACACAATTAAAAACAATTGACTATTGTTTCAATGACACGAACGACAGACAGACATCAATTTGATAAAAGAGAAGACCGACGTTTCTTCTTCCGCACAAAAGAGCGAATAGGGACAATGCAAAGTACACACTTGATAATACGAAAATAATTTTCTTTAATAATTGTGATTAAGGGCAACAAACATGAAAAAAAAAAAGAAAAAGGAAACCTCAACATCATTCCTCGACCACCAACATATATAGAAATCCTTAAACCAACTGAAAAGCAACGAAACGAAAAGGGAAAAACAAAACGTGAAAGGAAAACTATGCACATAACGAGGGTGTTTACGAACTAAGGGT